CCACAAGGGCCTAAACCGACAGTTGGACATCCCTAAAGGGGTCCCTGATTGGAGATGTGCATGCTAGGTTGAGGACTCCCCCGCTCCCCCAACTCCATGCACAAATTTCATGCACTGGTCACTAGTGTTGAATAAAGTGGTGAAAATGTACATCCCTGTCTTGTTCCTGTTCTTAGAGGAAATAGTTTTATTTTTTGCTCATGAAGTATGATGTTGGCTGTAGTTTTGTCATATATGGAATTTATCATGTTGAGGTATGCTCCCTCTATTCCTACTTTGCTGAGAGTTTTTATCAAAAATGGTGTAGGATTTTGCCAAATGCTTTTTCTGCATCTATTGCTATGATCATGTGATTTTCGTCTTTCAATTTGTTTATGTGATGTATCATATTTATTAATTTGTAGATATTGTACCAGCCTTACTTCCCTGGAATAAATTTCACTTGGTTATTGTGTATGATCTTTTTACTATATAGCTGGATGGGATTTGCTAATATTTTGTTTAGGATTTTAGCATCTAAGTTTATCAGGGATATTGGCCTGTAACTCTTTTTCTTTGAAGTGTTTTTATCTGGTTTTTGAATTAGGATAATGTTGGCCTCATAAAAATATCTTGAAAGTGTTCCCTCCTCTTGGGTTTTCTGAAATAGTTTGAGGAGGGTACGCATTAGCTCTTCTTTGAATGTTTGGTAAAGCTCCCCTGTGAAGTGGTCTGGCCCTGGGCTTTTGTTTGCTGGAATTTTTTTAAATTACTATTTCTCTCTCATCAGTTATTATTGGTTTATACAGGTTTTCTCATTCCTCCTGATTCAGTTTTTGGAGGTTCTATTTTTCTAGAAATTTGTCTATTTCACCCACATTGTCCAGTTTATTTGCATATAGTTGTTTATAGTATTTTCTTATAATCCTTTTATTTCTGTGGTATCAGTGGTTACATATCTGCTTTTGTTTCTGATTTTATTTATTTGGGTCCTCTCTCTTTGTTTCTTGATGAGACTGACTAATGGTTTACCCATTTTGTTTATACTTTCAAAAAACTTGTTCTTGGTTTCACTATATATATATATATATATATATATATATATATATATATATATTTCTATGTTATTTATTTCTGCTGTAATATTTATTATTTCCTTTCTACATTCTCTGGGCTTTTCTTATTATTTTATTTCTACTTCTTGAAGTTGTAGGGTTAAGTAGTTTGTTGCTGACTTTTCTTGTTTTTTTATATATTTTTTTTATTTAAATCAATCTTTATTGTTCATATTATTACAAAGGTTCCTCATTTCTTCCCCCCTCCACCAGGTTCCCACCACACCCTCCGCCCCCTCCCCATCCCCCATTGTCCTCATCCATAGGTGCACAGTTTATGTTCAGTCTCTTCTTCCCTCCCTTTCTCCAATAGTAAATCCCTTTTCAGATAGTAAATCAGTTACTTAGCATTTTCTCAAATCAATAATACCTCCACATGCCCAATGATACACTTCACACAAAAGACATTTCCCAATAGGTCAACTAGCCTCATCCAGGCCCCACACAAGGCACTCACAGATCAACTCCCAGCCCTACACTAACTCAACACATCCAGATCTAAGCCTTCATCACTTGATTCAGCAGACCCTCAAGTTCCTGCGAAAGTCTCCAGCCATGTCTGAGAGGCAGCCGTGGGGCAGGGGCAGGTGAGGAGCGAGCCGTTCCGGGCCTGGTTGCTCAGGGCCTGGCCTCTGTTGCTCTGGTTCGTTCCACAACCAGCTGCTCCGGGTCTGGTCACTGCCACTCCCGACCTAGTTGCTCCAAACTTGGCTGCTGCTGCTCCGGGCCTGGCCGCTCCCAGCCTGGCAGCCGCTGCTCCGGTCCTGGCCACTCCAGACCTGGCTCCTCCGGGCCTGGCCGCTCCCGGCCTGGCCACTCCCAGCCTGGCAGCCGCAGCTTCGGGCCTGGCCGCACCTGACCCGGCTGCTCCGGGCCTGGCCGCGCCCGACCTGGCTGCTCCGGGCCTGGCCGCTCCCAGCCTGGCAGCCGCTGCTCCGGGCCTGGCCGCTCCAGACCTGGCTCCTCTGGGCCTGGCCGCTCCCAGCCTGGCCACTCCCAGCCTGGCAGCCACTGCTCCGGGCCTGGCCGCACCCAACCCGGCTGCTCTGGGCCTGGCCGCTCCCAGCCTGGCAGCCGCTGCTCCGGGCCTGGCCGCTCCAGATCTGGCTCCTCCGGGCATGGCTGCTCCCAGCCTGGCCGCTCCCAGCCTGGCAGCCGCTGCTCCAGGCCTGGCCACACCTGACCCATCTGCTCCCCCGGGCCTGGCCGCTTCCAGCCTGGCAGCCGCTGCTCCGGGCCTGGCCACACCAGCCCCGGCTGCTCTCCCGGGCCTGGCCACTCCCAGCCTGGCAGCCGCTGCTCCGGGCCTGGCCGCACCTGACCCGGCTGCTCCCCCGGGCCTGGCCGCTCGCAGCCTGGTAGCCGCTGCTCCGGGCCTGGCCACACCCGACCCAGCTGCTCTCCCGGGCCTGGCCGCTCCCAGCCTGGCAGCCGCTGCTCCGGGCCTGGCCACACCCGACCTGGCTGCTCCGGGCCTGGCCGATCCCAGCCTGGCAGCTGCTGCTCCTGGCCTGGCCGCACCAGCCCCAGCTGCTCCCCCGGGCCTGGCCGCTCTCAGCCTGGCAGCCGCTGCTCCGGGCCTGACCGCACCAGCCCCGGCTACTCCCCCGGGCCTGGCCGCTCCCAGCCTGGCAGCCGTTGCTCCGGGCCTGGCCGCACCCGACCCGGCTGCTCCCCCGGGCCTGGCCGCTCGCAGCCTGGTAGCCGCTGCTCCGGGCCTGGCCGCGCCCGACCCAGCTGCTCCGGGCCTGGCCGCTCCCAGCCTGGCAGCCTTTGCTCCGGGCCTGGCCACACCAGCCCCAGCTGCTCTCCCGGGCCTGGCCGCTCCCAGCCTGGCAGCCGCTGCTCCGGGCCTGGCCACACCCGACCTGGCTGCTCCGGGCCTGGCCGCTCCCAGCCTGGCAGCTGCTGCTCCTGGCCTGGCCGCACCAGCCCCAGCTGCTCCCCCGGGCCTGGCCGCTCTCAGCCTGGCAGCCGCTGCTCCGGGCCTGACCGCACCAGCCCCGGCTACTCCCCCGGGCCTGGCCGCTCCCAGCCTGGCAGCCGTTGCTCCGGGCCTGGCCGCACCCGACCCGGCTGCTCCCCCGGGCCTGGCCGCTCGCAGCCTGGTAGCCGCTGCTCCGGGCCTGGCCGCGCCCGACCCAGCTGCTCCGGGCCTGGCCGCTCCCAGCCTGGCAGCTGCTGCTCCTGGCCTGGCCGCACCAGCCCCAGCTGCTCCCCCGGGCCTGGCCGCTCCCAGCCTGGCAGCCGCTGCTCCGGGCCTGGCCACACCCGACCCGGCTGCTCCGGGCCTGGTCGCTCCCAGCCTGGCAGCTGCTGCTCCGGGCCTGGCTGCACCCAATCCGGCTGCTCTGGGCCCGGCTGCCAAAGGCCTGGCCGCTCCGAGCCTGGCCACTCCTGACCTGGATGCTCTGGGCTTGGCTACTGCTGTTCTGGGTGTGGCTGCTCCCACCCCGGCTGTTCTGGGCCCGGCTTCTCCGGGCCCGGCCACTCCGGGTCTGGGTGTTTCTGGACTGGCCACCCTGGGCTTGGCCACCTCTGCCTCAGGCCTGGCTGCCACTGCCCCAGGTCTGGCTGCTCCTGTGCTGGCTGTTCATGCTCTGGTTCTGGCTGCTGCTGCTCTGGGGCCTGGCTGTTGCTGCTCCGGGCCTGGCTGCCACTGCCTTGTGCATGGCCACTCTAGCCTGGCCGCCGCTGTTCCAACATTCTGTCCTTTTTTTTTTTTTAAACGCATTTATGTTGCAATGTTGGCTGGTGAGTTGAGTTCTGACTTAGTCTTTGATTTTTCAAGAACTTCTTTGTATTCTTTCTTAAGTAATTTTACTATCTTTTGCTCTCACTTGATTTCTTCATATTGAGAACTTCTTTGGTTTCTTCCTCCTTGTCCTGGGAGCTCAGCAGATTGGCCTGTGGCACCCCTTTGTTCTCCGTGGGCTCCTGCGCTGCTTCAGCCTGTTGCCGGGGATGGCACCGCCCAGGAAGCAGCCCCCGGCCTTGGCTCCATTGCCCACGCTCAGCGGTCGAAGGCTCAGGGGCACCCACCCCCCCAGGGGCCCCGTCGCCCTCCTCCTTGCTGGTGCCCGGTTGGCCGGCATTCGGCAGGGACTCCCGCTCCCCACCGCGTTCCCCCAGCCTGGAGATTTTTCTCTCTTTCCTGCTAGGGTAGGCTGGCATCAGAGTCAACAGACTGTCCTCTGTGCGCAGTGCGCGCGAGTCCGGGGGCCCGGCCTTTCGCCCCTCTCCCCAGACTCCACCTCACAGCCCAGTCTCCCTCTGCCTGAGCCTGGGTCCCCAGGGATTGGCCCAGAACTGGGGTTCGGAGCAGTCCGGACTGAGGCTCAGCACCGCTGGAGGCCTTGTTTCTTCCGGCTAGGGTAACCCAGCATCAGAGTCAACATTCAGTCCTCTGCGCACACATTGCGCGCGACTCTGGGGCCCTGCTTTTCGCCGCTCTTCTGGGATTCCTCCTCACAGCCCCGTCTCCCCCTGCTGGAGCCTCGGTCCCCAGGGTCTGGCCCATAACTGGGGCTCAGCGCTGCTGGTTCGGGGGGCTCAGCGCTGCTGGTTCGGGGGTTCAGCCCAGGCTGGGGGTTTTATTTCCTTCCTGCTAGGGAAGGAAAGGCAGCACCCTGCCCTCTCCTCCTCTCCGGCTGCGACCTCTCCGTGCGCGCGTGTGGGCGGGCGTGCAGCATGTCTCCGTACCTTAGGCTTTTTTTCAGCTCCTCTGATTTTCCTTCTGGTTTTCTCTTTCCTTCTTGTTGTAGAATTTTTAGTCAGTCGACTACCTGTAGCTCTGGGCAATGTCCACTTTACATTTTAGTTGTATTCCATTGAAATTGTTGTGTGCTGCCTCGGTTAGATGTCTACCAGAGCAGCCATCTTGGATCTCTCCCCAGTTTAAAGATTTTAAAGATGATAAAATGCTAAGGAAACAACAGCAACATTCTCTGGCAAGAAATGTAATCTGTATCGAATCAGTAAATGCACCAATATGATGCAGATAGCTAGAACAAGGAGGCTGAAGAAAATGGTCATGCCACTCGACTGTTCCTCCTGCTGAGGCTGCTCCCCCGTCTGCACGGGGAGGATGGGCTTGGCAGGGGTCGGGAGCACCAGTTTTGTAGTGAAAACCAGGCTAGTGTGGAGGGTGACATTGAAAGCTTCGTGAGTTGTGTTGAGGAACTCCTCCTCCGCCATCTTTGGCCCCATCCTGCGGAGCCTCTAAGACCACCGAGTTCGGAGCCGCGGGCTTTTCTTGTTTTTTGATGTAGGCCTGAAGTGCTATGAACTTCCCTCTTAAGACTGCTTTTGCTGTGTCCCAGAGATTTGGGATTGTTGTGTGTTCATTTTCATTTGTTTCCAGAAAGCTTTTGATTACTTGATCTTGTTGGTAACCCATTCATTTTACCTAATAATAGAGAAACGTATAAATTGACCATACCTCCGCTACACCCACAGCCAATCAGAGTGAGTATTAAAATTAACCCAACAAAGATGGCAGTTAATTTGCATACATACCTGGGTCTGTGAACCTCCTCCGGTACCCAGGTCACTCCCAGCTAGCCATCGGAGAGGCCATGCCTACCATTGGAGGGGCAGGATGGGCAAGGGGGTGCTTCCCAAGCCTAAAGCCTGGGGATTCAGAAGGGACCAAACCTGGGACCAATCACAGACCATCTGGAAGTCAGTGCTGGGTTGCCCAGCTGCAGCCTGGTGACCCAATACTGATTGCTCAGATAGCTGAGAACCAGAAAGTGAGTCATGGTCTGATCTGCAGCCTGTGCAAGCTTTTGATCAGTATACTTACCTCTCTCTTTCTTTCCCTCCCTCTTTCTTTCTGCTCTTTGCCAGCAGCCAGGCTTTCCTTTCTCTCCCGGCCTCCATGAGGGCTGCTGTTAAGCCCCACCTCTTTGATCAGACCCAGAGATAGGCCTGGAGATATTGACTAGCATAGGAACCAACCAATCAGAACCAAAGGTGGGTGCTGTGGAGAACCAATGGCTGCCTAGGAGGCAGAGCTGCAAATGCTGACTAGCATAGGAACTGACCAATGAGAACCAAAGGTGGGTGCTGTGAGGAGTGAATGGCTGCCCAAGAGGCAGAGCTTCTGATGCTGACTGGCATAGAAACTGACCAATGAGAACCAAATCTGGGTGTTGTGGGGAGTCAATGGCTGCCTAAGAGGTGAAGCTTTTGTTGATGCTGGCATAGGAACTGATCAATCAGAACCAAATTGGCCAGCAGATAAGGGCCACTGGGGGCAACATCAGGCCTGGAGGAGAGGGAGTTAGGGGTGATCAGGTTGGCAGGCAGAAGTAGTTAGGGGCAATCAGGCAGGCAGGCAGGTAGGTAAGCAGTTAGGAGTCAGTGGTCCCAGATTGTGAGAGGGATGTCTGATCCCTGAGATCAGGCCTGAAATGGCAGTCAGACATCCCATAAGGGGGCCCCAATTGGAGAGGGTGAAGGCTGAGTTGAGGAATCCCCTCTACGTGCATGAATTTCATACACCAGGCCTCAGTTGTTTAATAACATGCTATTTAGCCTTCATGTGTTTAAAAGTTTTTGAGTGCTTTTTCTGTAGTTGATTTCCAATTTTATTCTACTGTGATCTGAGAAGATGCTTGATATGATTTCAGTCTTCTTGAACTTGTAGAGACTTGTTTTGTGTCCTAACATGTGGTCTATCTTTGTGAATGACTCATGTGCACTTGAGAAAAATGTATGTCCTGCTGCTTTGGAGTGAAATGTTCTATAAATGTCCATTAAATCTATCTGATCCAGTGTGGCCTTCATAGCCACTGTTTCCTTCTTAAATTTTTGTCTGGAAGTTAAAGTCTCCCACTATGACTATATCGTTATTGATCTCATTAAAGTCCTTTACAAGTTTATTTGTTTTTTTAAATAATATATTTAGGTGCTCCTATATTGGGTGCATATATGTTTAACAGAGTTATATCCTCTTATTGGATCGATTTATTAGTATTATGTAGTGACCTTTGCTGTCTCTTTTCATGGCCTTTATTTTAAAGTCTATTTTGACAGATATAATTATTGCTACTCCAATTTCTTTTTCTTTCCCATTTGCATGTAAATTTTTTTCCTATTTCTTCACTCTCATTGTGTGTGTGTGTGTGTGTGTGTGTGTGTGTGTATGTGTGTTTGTGTGTGTGTGTGTGTGTGTTTTATTCTGAGGTGGGTATCTTGTAGACAACATATAGTTGTCTCATGTTTTTGTGTCAATTCAGCTACCCTATGCCCTTTTATTGGAGCATTTAAGCCATTTACATTTAGGGTTATTATTGATAGGTACTTATTTATTGTCATTTTAATTCTGTATGCCTAGCTTTCTCTCTCTGTTTCTTCTCTTCATTACAGCAGTCCCTTTGGCATTTCCTATAATGCTGGCTTGGTGATGATGTACTCCTTTAGCCTTTTATTTTATTTTTCTGGGGAGCTCTTTATTTGACTTTTTTCCCCCCTGGGAAGCTCTGTATTTGACTGTCTATTTTGAGTGATAGCTTTACTGGATATAGTAATCTTGGTTTCAGATCCATTATTTTCATTACCTTGAGTACTTCATACCATTTCCTTCTGGCCTGTAGAGTTTCTGATGAGAAATCAGGTGTCAGCCTTATAGGAATTCCTTTATAGGTAAAAGTTTTCTTTTCTCTTGCTGCCTTTAAGATTCTCTCTTTGTCTTTAATTTTTGGCATTTTAATTATGTGTCTGGGCATGGGTCTGTTTGGGTTCTTCTTGCTTGGGCTTGAAGACTTTTGTACCTCCTAGACTTGTGTGACTTTTTTCTTTACCAGATTAGGGAAGTTTTATGCCATTTCTTCAAACACATTCTCTATCCCTTTCTTCCTTTCTGCCTCTTCTGGCACACCTATTCTAATATTTCACATTGTCTCACAGCTCCCGTAAGCTGTCTTCTTGCCTTTGATTGTTTGCTTTTTTTTCTTTTGGTTTCTCTTATTGAGTGATTTTTTTCAACCCTGTCTTCTAATTCACTGATTAGATCCTCAGCTTTCCCTAATCTTCTGTGTATTCCTTCTAATGCTTTCTTTATTTGTGTTATGTCATTCTTTGTTTCCAAGATGTTCTTTTAAAGATAGTTGCTATATCTTTTTTCATGCTGTTGAGCATCTTTTCTATCATTGTTCTGAAATTTGTTTTAGATAAATATCTTATCTCTGTTTCATGTATCACTTCTAGAGAATTATCTTGTTCTTTTATTTGAGAGTTGTTTCTTTTCCTCATTTTGGTTGTCTATTTGTATTTGTATTAAGTAGATCCTCTATGCCTCTCAGTTTCTAGTGCAGAACTATGTCAAATGCTGTTTCTGACTAATCAGATCAGGTGAAGACACAAAGCCTCGCCTATAGCCTGATAAGATTATGACTTGAATTGGACCAGGAAATTGTCCTCAGGTGTGGGGAGAATTTTTTTTTCAATAGGACAACAGTTGCTTCTTCCTGGGTGCTAATTGCTATTTTTGGTCTTTAAGTTGCCTCTGAACATGATATTTTCGAATAGGATGCATTAACTGTCTTCCCTCCAGGCAAGGTAATGAGTGTATGTGAAAGATGTCCTCTGCTATGTGAGGGAATGACTCAGCACAGGAAACTTGGGGTGTCTGCCTTCTAAGATCTAACCCTTTGAGTTCCCAATCCTGACTTCTAATCACACAGTGCTAGTCCACTCTGTCTTCCCTCTGACAGAGCACAAGGTGGGTGACTACCGAGGGAATTTTGTGCATTGGCCCTTTAAGAGAGTGCCTGAATTTTTACTCATTACTCAGACAACAACCCCACTACTTTTCACATCCAGATGTTATGTGGGTACTTTTATCAGTTCTAGTACTTTCTGCTGGGGGCCCCAGCTTTGGGATTAGATCCCAGAGTTCTCAGTGACAACCCCCCACAGCTGAGATGTCTTTCCAGAACTTCAGTTGCTCTCTGAGGGGACCCAGCCAGTCCTTTTGTGCTTCTGCCCTTTTACCAGTCTCCATGCACTCTCCACTTTTGGTCCTTGGGTATCAGGGTTCTCTCCTATGAGTCTTCTATTCAGAAAAATTTTCTATATTTTAGTTGTAATCCTAGTTTGTTCCTGGGAACATGTCTTTGCAGCATGCATTTACTCTGCCACCATTTTATCTCCCAGTGCAACTTCTTAATACAAATTTCTAGGCCCAGAGTATCTGGTAGTCTTATCTCACTAGCATTAGTCCACTGTGGTCCAAGTATTGAGGAGGCTACAGTTCATTGTGACTCAGGCTCTGTGTATAATTAATTTGATGAAACTTAAGAAGGAAAGTATGAAATAAAATAATCTAATTTCACATTTTTATTGATTGTTAAAATTTACTAAAAGGTGGTGGGATTCAAAAATATACACATGCTAGTTATTTTGCTATTTTAACCTAGTTGTTTTAATTTCCCTTTATTTATATGGATGTTAACAAAAGCCATGTGTATGGACCCTAGGGATAGGGGAGCTCAGATAGAATTCAAACTCTTGCAATAAGAAATGACTGCTAAAGAACAGTGTAGATCATAGCATGAGGCCGAAAACTGCATGAGAGTTAAAATTGCAAGATGGATTTCTAAACCCTAGCAGCCAAAACATATTTGAGGGAGAATAGATATATCTTCTGTTAGATGTTATTAAACTGATTGTTTTGTGGTGTGAAATGAAGTGCACTTGTCTTCACCTTGAACACACACACACACACACACACACACACACACACACACACACCACTAATGATGTGAGCATGGGTTTGTTTGGAGATACTTGTCGAGCACTCAGCATTCATTTCATCTTCACTTCACCCCAAACAACATAGAGCTCCTTACTTTTTCCACGTTATAAATGAGGAAACTGAGTTCCAGGGAGGTTTGTTAATGTGTCCAGGACTATGGTATTGAAGAGTGTTGGTACCATGGTACTCGCCCAGGAAGTTTTTGCCAAACTGGACTGGACTGTATCAGCACAGTCCAAAAGGAGAGGTTCAGAATCAGATACTTCCCAGGAGAAACCAGCTAATATTTAAGAATTTGAAGATGCTTGTAGTTTATCTTACTCAAACCTCAAGTGAACAGGAATCCTATTCCTGTTTACAGGGAAGATCAGATGATAAGGTAGTCAGCATTTCCTTGAAAATATTTATACTAAGAATTCAGTCAAAATATTTAGAAGACCCAGTT